ACTCTGTGCTTTTGTGCCCACCCACAGAAGAGCCGTGGAGCCTGCAGCCCCGCGGGAATCTCTGCACACAGCTGCTGAGGCAGGCAGCTAACGCGGCTACATCACAGATTCCTTCCTCAGATACACACTTTTACTGTATCATTAGGCCTTCTTTGTTTCTTTAGACATTATACCTATGGTTTAAAATTCTGTATGTAACAATGAATTGTCTCACTTGACTATAAGGGTTTTTTCCCGTTAAATAAGAAGCAGTCAAGCTGAAAAATAGCTGAAAATAATTGACCAATTAGCGCTTTGACTTAAATTTTAATTGATGCCATTCGCAGTCTATGCAGCATTTTCTGTACTTGTTAAGTACATTATCTGGAATTCTGCCTCCTTGTGAGGGAGGATAAGGTTGTTTAATAGGTTAATAAGGGGGTGATTTAGTATCTGTCCAGCTCCATTCATGGCCCAACAGGGAAAAAAAAAGAGACCAAGACAGATCACTGACCCTAATCTGTGTCACACAACCATTAGGAGTGCTCGTCGGGGCGTGCACGTGCTCACGCATGTCAACGGTGACGAAGGGAAGGACAGCGGACTCTGGTCCACTAAATAGGACACACTCTCTCGTCTCGGGCACGTAGAGAGGATAAGCAGGACACGGGAGCTAAATTGGCTCGTCTAGACAAAACCGAGTAAACAGAAATGGGATTTGATGCGTGTGTGAGTAATGCACTGTGACAGCAGATGGCATGAGCGAGAACCCTTAGAAATTCCAGGAGGGACAGGTTTGAGTTGTGAAAACAGAAGTTTCCCCAGCGGGAAGACGGGCCGCTTTTACTTTTCTTTTTTTTCTTTTTTTGCAGCGTATTCAGAGTTTGCAGCGTACACAGCTAAAGTGGAACACTAATCAATAGAGGCTGGGAGACCTGCTCCTACTGGATTACACTGCAGCAAAAGGTAGATTTCTCAAAACCATATTCCAACCATAACCGGGCCGATAATAGGGCTGCGGAATAATTCATTCCCTTTAACCCTTGTGTGGTGTTCGGGTCTGTGGGACAGAATTAATATTTAATGCCCACACACCGTACACCCCCCCTAAACATTTCTATTACATATGAGATGTTCGGGTCCACTGGAAAAGAAGTGGGGAAATTGATGTTCTGTGAACCACACACAGACACGCACATGCACTCACAATGTTGCAACCTTGTGTGGGAATTGCAGGTGCACAAAAACAAAAGAAACAGTTACCATACATTGTTTGTCTGCTCTAATTTTCTCGCACGTTTCACCCTCTGTCTATTTGCTAAAAATTGGGGGCCACACTGGCACAGCTTTGCCAGAGTGGTTTCTTATAACTGATCAAGAGGGGAAACAGAAAAGAATAAAGGTCAGATGAAACAACTGAATAAATACGGCTCGCTTTGTTCTGCTGACACACTTTACACACAACAAACAGTTGGGCGGCTTATTGTCCGCCTGAAACAACAAAGACAGATGACTTATGGGTGTGAGTCTGTCTGCACAGCACCGTCCTGCCCCCCCCCCACCCCACCCTACTCTCCACGGTCTCAATCACAACATCCGCACTCAAACCTCCCACCTCTCTTGTTACACACACACACACACACACACCACACACACGCACACACACATTCGCGCAAAGTGGGAAAATAGGATACTCAAACACAAAGAGAAACGACCTTCCCTTCAGCTATTGTAGAATCATCTCTCTACAAAACCAGAGGCAGAACAAAAAAAGCACACTATACTTGGCCCTGTTGCTGGGGTCAAAGGTCACCATGTCTGAAATGCTCCTTCTTATGTCCCTTTCTGTAAAAAGACATCCGTTTCCAAGCACAGGTCCTGTGGATTGATACAAAATTGATACAGAAATCTCTCAAACTGACTGGGCTCGATGTCTTTAGCGTACTACGGATCGCACAAGCTAGCAACACATGGCTTCTTGTGGTTTTTTGTTGTTGTTTTGTTTGTTTTTTCAACCAAAGCCTTGTTGGTGCCGTTTGGTCAGGCACTATGTGAAGACATCCCTTTGTCTCATTCAGCTGTCGTTTGGCCAGTGGGCTCTGACCACCACCATTTTTGGCTCGCCACACGTGTAGCTTAGCTTAGCTTAGCCTAGCTTAGCCCTGCCGTGCTACGTTCTCACCACGTGTGGCAGAAATCGATGCGCAATTACAGCTCCACTCCAGTGGGGAACATAGCGGTGGACAGAGGGGGAGCAGAATATGGAGAGGGGTAGAGCAAAAAGCAAAGAGCATCATCTCATGAGGCATTGATTACACACACACAGACACACACACAGGCACAGACACACTTGTTTACAGCCTTTTATGAAAGCCTCCTCGCTCCTTTAAAGCAGGAGCACAAAGGAAGGGGAGGAGATGAGAAAGAAGCTGTAATGCATTATTTCTCTGAGGTGACAGCAGGATTATTCAAAGCCTTGTGCAAACCCAACAGGGTGTTCTGTCAACGAAAAACGCTTTTGATCTGGTAAGAAAGGCTAATAGGTGCTCTTCATTTGCTGATCTATATTTTTCAGCGCTTTTCAAAGATTTGAATAGAAACTGACAGATCAGAACAACCCGGTGACAGATTCTATCTATTTCTGTGTCCAAGGAGTCCCGTTTGTAGTATTTTGCTTTCAAAAGCAGGAGGAAAGTTAAAAACATATCAAAATGAAGCTCTTCGCACTCATGAACTGTGATGTTACTCACTGCTCACAGGTCCCTCATCACCATTATGAGCTACATCCTAAACGAAGTAAAGCATTTTCTCATCCTGAAGTCTGAAAAAAAGGACAGATAATCAAACATTTATAGTGGAATCTAAGTGCATTTTTAGTCCTTCTCACCATAGACTCAAGTCCAAGTTAAGTTTCTTCCTACTTTTAAGACCACAGGTTTGCTCAGAGGACCCTTGAGATGGTAACACTATTATTTTTTCACTCTTGCCAGTAAGATAAACAAGCCAATGAATACAGAAATGTCAGATTATCCTCTAAAACAAATCATGACTCTTGTCTTGTTTCGATGTTCGAAATGTGATGGGTTTGATGCAGATTTCAGCTGGCATTTTTTTTCAAGCCCGCAGCCCAGAGACCGAAGCTGACCTGCAACCTGTCCGATCCTCACTTTTCAAATACGTCAAATCTTGCACCGGCTTCAGATCAGAGAGACATAAAAGATGAGACATGACATCAGCTAAGACGACTATTTTTTTTTTCTCAGACACGCAAAGAACAGATCATCTTTAAAAAAAAAAAAAAACTTTTCTCAAAGACTCAAGTAACTACTTTTTAAAATAGAGTAGAGGACAACCATGAACAGATTTAAAATTCCTAAGACGGCTTCGATCATTCGTCTTTATCCACAACTTGTTTTTCCTTTGTGAGTTTGATCGCCTTGAGACAGAGCTAAAAAAGATAGAAGCAGTTAAAGAGAGACATCCAGAGGGAATCAGGGAGTGATTGGGCTGTTGAGAAGAGAGGGAGATGGGGAGGGGGGGGGTGTATCAATGGGTAAGAGAGGCCTCCACAAGAGAGAAAAAGTAAAACTCGGAAAAATATGTGTGGACAGCAGATTTGTATTCTATCATTCTTGTTTTATGTGTCATTTGAAACAAAAACTGGCCCTTTTGACAGCCGGTTTCGAAAATTGCAACAAGTTTTGGGCAGCAAACGGCGCTGAACGGGAGCAAAGGGCCGGATCAGGACATCCACAAACACAGACACAACACGGGAAAGTGTCCCGTGTGCAGATGGACACGCGTCCCATCTGAGGGGGGGGGGTTATTTCACATAAAAGGCCAACGGTTATGAGTTATTCTATTCCACTCGGCCCCAGAAGCAATTCCAGTTTCCATCTGCGCTTTCCCTCTCGTTGATTTGGCACCCCTCCTGGGGATGGGGGGGGCACACATGATGCCGTTCCAGTGGCAGGTTTGTTTACTCTCACATCCATATTCATGCTGGACAGGGGGATTGGCCGAGAAAGCCTTTATTTCCGTGAATGTAACAGGCCCCAACACAGGCCGACGAGCACAGGTGGAGCCACAAAGCACTGAGATGTCAACAGATGGAAGGGGGAGAACAAAGACCACCTCGGCTCACAGATCCAAGTGACGAAAGCCTCATTTTCACTCCACGCCTCGATATGAAGAGACGCTGAATGATGACTCACGAATTGAATTAGGCTCGTAGTAGTGAGAGAAGTCACATCGTGTGTCTCTTCTCCGGCTTACGGGATGCTTCGTTAGTCCGGGCGGGCACCTTTAAAGCCACCAACTCGAGGGGATCTTTTCCCTTCTTCGAGGTTTCTGCGTCTCCGTCCTTTCTGTCTCATCAGATTATCCAACAACCCAGACGGTGTGTCTCCTCCATTTAACACGCCGCCATCGTCATCTTGAAAGCTCATTCTGACCGGGAATGTGCAAAAACAAGACCAACCGGGGTAATTAAGGGGCACTGGCGTGAATAAATGATCACCCGTGCGTGATGTAACACTCTAAGTGATGTTTTCAGGTTTTTTTTCTTCTTCTTTGCTCGTGTGGTGAGCCAGTTGTCCAGGAAAGGAAAATAAGTTTTTGCTTTCCTGTGTCGCCTAGTGCTTGCTCTTGGTGGGAATTGTTGGGATTCTGTAAATAACTTCAGAGTCCAGTCTGACCTGCTCTGCTGTGAGATAACTGTTGTTACGATTTGGCGCAATATAAATCAAATTCAATTGAATTGAATGGAAAGCCCTGCAAATGGCATAAATTCAGAGAGCCCTAACGATAAATAGGGTTTCAAATGATCCATCCCCTAAATCCCCATCAGCTACAGGTGTATCGAAGTCTACCCAGGTCTCAGATGAAGTGCAGGTCAGGCTGGTGTGGACCCAGGTCATTTTCTTGCATTCAGACAACTTTCACCGAGACGAACACTCATTTAAAGTTTGTCTCCTCAGCACCGGGGCGTCACACCCGTATGAGATCAGCCAGCGTTTGTTATTCAGGCCGCGTTCCGCCTCGCTCCCTCGCATACCGACACACAGAGAACCCACACCTTCATAGACACCGACACGTCAATATATCGACCTCCTCAAAGCCCACGCTCGTCTGTCAACAGTCACTGTTCGGCCATTTAAAACAGATTAAAAAAAGGTCAAAATTCTAAAAAAAAGAACAAATGACTACCTGATTTTTGAAAAGCAACAATGTCTTTAGTGTGTGGTTATCAGTAACAAACTCCCCACCCATAGAAGGGTTCTTGGAACCATCAAATGCAGCATTGTGTGTGTGGGGGGGCGGCATTAGAGACTGAATTGTGCAGTGCTGCTTGCCTTAGTCATAAAACAAACAGGATGACTTATTATTGAAGTTTTTAGAGAGGATGTCAAGCTTATTCCAGCTCATGTTCCATTTTGCATCATTACTTTGCAACATGTAA